GTTTTGTCCTGGGGGGCCACTCCATTTTTTCTCCAATACTCAAGATAAGGATTAGAGGGCTCACGACACGTAATCGACTCATTTAAAGTAGACTTCTGATAAATATTGGTGTAATGGGTGAGAAACCCTGAAACGTTTTCACATTTCCGCCTGCCATGACCCAAGGGAACGGTCCTGGACCAGGAGAAAGGACACCTCCGCAAAGGGCTAAGGGTGCAGGAGCTCCAGGGTGGATCACCTGTGCAGAAAAGTGGATGGGATGTGGGCAGGTAGTGTGGAATGTAGGACATCCACCGGTCCTTATCAAAAGTACGCTCGAAATGAGTCGTTCACTTATTATCTTATCCGTAGTGTTCGAGTTTTAAAATTTACCCTGGGAGCTGATTAATGCAGAGGACTTGTTCCTTTTACTGCAATCTCTGCGAGACCTCCATTTCGCCTCGAAATCGGATCCCTCTGCAGATTAAAAGGATTCAGCAAATCACGAAAGCCCATGTGCGGCGCATGCTAACGACTCCCCTTGAGAGTAGTAGAGGCATATGGATAAAAGCACTTTTGACGCCATCAACATTCTGTGTTTTTCCCACAAATGGCTCCAGAGTTTTCTTCGGTATCTAATGGCGTGGTCCAGTTACCTTTAGTTCCTTTTTCGCTGCTATAAACTCAATATTTTGATTGTTGACTGGCCAGCCTTGTACTTGGCCCTTGCTTTAGGAGGCACGACAAACAGTTTCCAGAGAAAATCTTATATATTGTTTCAAACATTAAGTTTTAGCACAATCTTCTCGATCTGTCAATCTTTCAGCAATACGCTGAGGTGAAAAGTCAAGTCAGGTAAGTGAGTTGTCAGACCCTCATCGTCGAGTAACTCCATCAATTTATGTAGGTCGTCTACTGTGCAGATCTTCGGATCCGATTCGCTTACCAAAGATCCTGTAGGCTATTTCCAAGGCAACAACGCCTGTGAGTGGCGCCCCATCGCGAACGGAGGAGATGCTCGACAGCGTGAGTCGAGTGCGTGTCCTTACACATGGCTCTTCTCATAAATGCAACTGACAGAGCTGAATGTTTCAGCCGCTGAACATCATTAATATTCGAGATGTGCCGATCCTCTCGTTAGCAATGAGAGCTGACCAAGTTGAAGGAACAGCGGAAGAATCGGAAATTCGCGACGAGCTACACCAGATGTTGCTCGTAAGTCTATAGTTGTCAAAGTGATGTCTCTATTTATGCTTGAGTTTTAACCTTTTTGCTTCAGCTCATCGCTGCTTGTTTCCAAAAGGTTCAGTTATAACGACGATAAGGGTTTAAGTAGCCATCTTGATCACTCGGAAACACTTACTTCACAAGACGAGGACTTCGACCTGTGTGCGACTTAAAGGAGGAATTCACGATAAGAACGAAGGTCAAAGAAGGGAAAATTGCATAGTTGGGAGACAGGCGGACCTCCTGAGGGTGCTGACCGACGCGCAATGGCAGCGAAAGATTTGACCTCGGCGATCTAGCATGGCTCACTCTTGGCGCGGTTGGCGGGGTACGCCCACCGATCATCTGATCACTCGCCGCAGGTCTATACGTGGCGAGTGATTAGATAGCAGAGAGAGCGTAGTGTTGAAGAGGGCACAGCGATGAGAGTCGCATCAATGCTCAAATCAACGGGCAAGGAAGGGGTCCCATTTCTCGGTTTCTGGGCCGTTTTGAATGGTTTTCTCTTGCTCCACTGACCACCTCTACTTTTATTTCAAATCAGCTAACTTTTCTTCGACAAGTTCTCTTTTGAAAAATTTTACGACCACCCCCGCAGAAGTGCCCGCACTCAACACTCTCCAATGGATACTGATAGCATCGTACAACTTGCCATCACGTGACGAATTCGAATTACCTATCGCAAGACTCCAAACCTCTCTCGCATCAAACGGAGTCGATCACACACATGCTGCTCCTAACAGCATGTTCTACATCTAATCCATTTCAGCATTTTTTCACATCTACTTCGTTCCCGTATAAAGCCCGGACTCAAGCCCCATTCCGAAAAAGGACTCAAGCCCCATTCCGAAAAAATGCAATTCCACTCGTTAATCAGAATGAACGGTTGGCCACATTTTGTCATCAGCACCTGCAGAACACGAGCTTCGGACAGACTGACTGATTTAATCGGGAAGATGCTTTCATTATTGAGAAAGCAGGGCCTGCGACTGTAATTTTCGCTTGAACGAGCCATGGATAAGAAGTGGTCCACTGGAGTGCTCTACAAGAATAGCTGAGCAGTGGAGTGAAAGTGGAGAAGAAAGCAAGAAGAATCATCGAAAACCATGACCTTACTTCCGGCAAGGTCGATTGTAGTGCAAGGGGAGAAAGTGCGATTCAAGAAGGAAATCACCGGCGAGAGCACGCTGATCTCCACATCAATCACGGTCGATGGTTGCAATTCCTATAATGACTAACGCCCTAATTACGTATTTTGTGCAACGGAGCACGACCCTAGTAAGTATGGACCCAACCCGTCACTCGCAGCGATGCTTTCTCCCTAAGGGGGCAGGTTATGGGCCGGGGCTTGCTCCATGGCTGCGCATAACCGAAAACTCAGCTCACTTTTGTCCGCACTCTTGTAGAGGGTTGTCATCAGTCACCCCATCGAACAAAGCCTCCTTCCATGAGGAATAATATGTATAAAGCGTTCCTGCGAAGGAGTCATTAGCTGATTTTTAATGGCTTCCACCTCCCGCAATTGACCAGTCTTGAGACTCCCGTAGGCACAGAGTTCCGGTCACTCATGGGAACGACCACTGGTCGACCAATCTGTGCTCTCGAGGAGACGACGGAGAAGTATCCATTCAGATGTCCTGCCAATGATGAGGGACCAAGCTTTTTCAGTTCGGAGTTAAATTTGAGTATTTCAAGCTGCAATATCGAAGATTAGTTAGCCTTCCGGTCATATAAGCAGCCTCTTTTACAGTCGTGCACTCAATTGCAGCAAGGTCATCCGAATGCAGTCGGGCATCTCGTTTCGGTCTGCTGATGCTCAATAATTGGATTTCTTCATGGCCGCAATACTATTCATGCATCGATAAATAGTGAAGAGTCACTGTTGGGGTAGAGAGCGAACTTGTTCAGAGCAGTGCTGGAAATAGTAAAGTCGGAGATTGCCACTTAGTTTTAGCTGAAGAGACCCTTCAAGTGGAGCGTTCATATCGTTCGCCATTCAAGCCCCCACTCATGATCACTCACGATGTTTACACCATCAGAACAAGGAAGCGCCCATCCAGGTCTTCTTCTTTCACATCCTGAAAATGCAATGGAGAAAGGTTCTATTACCTCGACGGTGTTGATTGCAAAGGGTGCACAGATTCGAACAACACGGGAAATTGCGTGAATAGCAAAGTTTCTCGTGTCAGCCGGTTTGTAACCTCATTTCTTTCTTCACAATAGCTAATTGAAGGTCTCGCGAACATGAAATAGCCATAAAGCCATTGCCATAAAACAAGAAGATGACATGGCAGTAATTAGGTCTCTAAGAAATTGCACGAAACACGTTACAGCCGACAGAAGACCTCAAAAACAAGGCTAACTTAAGCGTTCGTATGAAGTGAATGCAAAAAATCTGAAGCGTAAAGATGCAAAGAAGTTCCATTCAAGTTTCTCACTGTTCTTTTGATTTTTTCTCTACAGAAACGTGAAGCACTTTGGCAAGTTCTTCGAGGAGTTGATGTTGCTGCTTCGTGGAAGCGTTGGCCCAAAGACAGATCCTGAGCAGCAGGACAAATGCCACGAATCACTAGTTCTTCACTTCGATCAGTTTTGTTTTCCCCTAAGAGAAGCGTGAGTGCAGTCAGCCCAAGTATCTATGCTGAAATACGATAATGGTGAATGATTTAGAATCCCTTTGCGTTTGGCTTCCTCAAAGAGATTTCACGCACTTTGCCTCAACCTCAGCCCACAGCTGCTGGGTACGGCTATGAAGGAGATGGAACGATTTTGCGCCACGAACACGGTTGTCAGGCAGCTTCAGGATGTGGAATAGACTCGCCCGAATTTTTACATATTGTACATTTCCCTAATAATTGATTCTACATAATAAAATTTGAAATACTGTTGGTTTGTGGATGTTTTATAACTACTTCAGTGAATTCACGTGGTTCATTCGGTGGCGAGCGGGCACCATAGCCGACTGGTGCAGGTCTGTGCCGCGGTGAGCCTTTGGTATAGTGTTTTGGTAGCCACAAAAGTAAGTGGATTGTGTGTAGTATAACGGAGCACTTGCGAGCTTTTTTTCCTACATCGCGGCAACGGTTAGTATGGTTCAGCGACGCGCCGTGATTGCAAAAACCCCGAGTCTTCGGGATATATCCCCGAAAGACCTGACGGAGCTTGGGGCATACGGCCCCTGAACTCGCACTTGCACTTTCTAGAGGGCATGCTAGCCAGTAATGATAAGCTTGGATAAGTATTCCATCGAAGACTGAGGGAGGCTACATGTGGTTTCGGATACAAACATCACGGTAGCGGTGAGTATAAATATAGGTTCGATTCCCGTTCAAGCCCGAACGTTGTCCATAACTCTGCGTCACCTGTTGTGATGTTTACAAAACGGTAAAAGTGGTCGATAAGGCACTCCTTCGAAATGCATCGAATAATTTGTGCCATTTTCGAGCTGAAGAAGCTGGAAGGTTAACCGAAAATCGTGAGCTAACAAGTTGCGCTACTGGTTGAAACGAAAGCCAGATTCCGCGGTCAGAAGGTGATGTGCCCGAATCGCAAGTATGAAGGGAGTTATTTGAAGGTGACTGATGTTGAGTATGAGCGAGTCAGTCCCGACTGCTTCCCGTTATTTTTAAGAAGTGCAAAAACTAAGAAAACCTGAAAAAAAAAACTCGAAAACATTAGGAAGCTTCAAAACTTCATTGCTGAGCCAAGACAAAAGAAGTTTTCCGAACAATCCCAAGAGCAGATTCATTTTGCTTGGAGCAATATTTTGATGCTTAGTTATACCTTCTTCTGACCTGAAAAATTCAATTGGGCAGGTTATTAACATTCAAAAAAGACATCTAAAACACAATGCTCCGCCTTAACTAGTATTTTACTTACCAGCGCCTACGTCGGTTTATAGCACGAAGTAGTTCTGGTCTGCACTCTTAAATATCCATGGACTACCCGCTACCATCATCTCTTTGCCATAGTCCATTAGCCTACCGGAGTGAAGCGAAAGATGTCACGTAACTTTGGCTCAAATTAAAAAATTCAAACTTAAACCTAAAAAATGCATTAAAGGGTATCGCGCGAAAATTCCAAATAACTAAAAAATTTCAAAATGTATTAGGGCACGCTTCTACCTATTCAAATGCGTTGAAAGTTTGGGTATGTAGGAGTGGAATCTTTGTTATTTTGTATAACTTGATATCATGAAGCCGAATGTTGTGGACACCTGGCGGAGTGAGCACTATGTACCTAAAACATGGTGAGTCCCATGGCTTAAAGATGAGTGTCCAAGTATTGTCATGGAAAAAATCGTCTTTGATCCTCATCGCTTTATCACGCATTTCGCCTAGCCTATTTCGTATTAGGTTCCAGATTAGACGACAGAGCGTCAGAGCGACGTACCTGGATGCTCACTAAGGATGATACAATTCCCCGTCGACGCGGCGTTGTGGAGGAAAAGAGAAAAAGCAGAGAGGAATCCATGGTGATGAGGGGTGGTAGGGTCGGAGAAAGGGAGGTAGGGGTTCTATTGGGGAGCGCTCTAAGGCTGATAGTGGTAGTGCGGGATCGCATCAAGACCCCACTAAAAAAGGGGCGCAAAATTTTGAGAAAACTGCGAACGTGACAGCTGATTCATGGATGTCACTACTCTCCCTCCCAAATTCGACCCTTCTAGGGAGCACTCATTTTAGTTCACGGACGGGGGGGAGGGATAGTGATTCTCTGCCGAAAAGTTTCAGAGCCGCTGGGCCGGTAGCATCTACTAAATAATATGGACAAGCTACTGAAGAAGGCAGAAGTGCAGAAGGACATATTCGCAAAAGGAGCATGTTCTTGAGAAACTGTGAAGCTGATTATAAAGACTATAACTTTTTATCTATCCTTCTCACTTCTTGAGATAGCCAAAAATAATTGCGGAGAATTCAGAGTGTGCGGGTCCTGCTGGGAATGAAACGAAGGTTAGCGAAGCGTAATACTCAAAGCTAGGACCCTGAATTCTTCTGAAAGCGTATAAAATACTCTGAGCATCGTCACTTGTCGATGGCTTCGAAGAAATTTGAACCACTGAAAACACTATGCACGTCATAGCGTGCTTTTCGCTAGCCTATACGAGTGGAGTTAATATGTAGTTTTGAGTACCGTCTATTTCACACTGCCTTTCACTCACTTCATTTTCACGGGCTCCATGAATAGATATCGAAAATCACTGCTATTCCATATGGTAGAGGTCAATCAGATAATAGCTCTGCATTGATAGCTCTAATTAGTGTACGCCACGCCACGGTACACGAACACTATTTATGGTACTTGGGGAGTACGACAGTTCACGCAAGCGAAGTCCCTCATCCAAGTGCATAAGCGAAGTTGCGGTAGATCTATGAGCCCTAATAGGAAATACTGAGCGTATGGTTCAGGTGACCTGTTTCGGAAACCATGACCGTCGGTTGCGAACTGGTACCTTGAGGTAACACCACGCTAATGGCACTGCGCTATCTGCCACGAAAACGTCTATGAGGTACGCGATAACAAGCCTGAATCAAACTTACAATTGCGAGATATCATGGCATTTATAATAACGTGGCTGACTAGCGTGCGGCTGGTTGCAATCCAGTACCGTTAGAAAACAATAATTAAGCTATATTGCTGGTTCTTCAAAAAATTATTTAAAAATTTCCTATTAATTTCATTTCGCTCGTCCGTTGTTATTTCTTGGACAACAGAACACTTAACGGTTCGACAACTATCTAATTGGCTTTGTGATGTATACAGCCGCAGATGTGCCGCTTGCCTCGTTGGAGTCCCCGTTCGAAGGTAACCGAGAGAAGTCGGGTGGTCCCCGACCCGACGTACGTATCAGCGATCCGCGCCGCTTGTCACCCATCGCGAGGCTTCGCGTCTCACCCAGCCTCCGCGATGACCCATCAGGGTTTCCCTCGCTGGCATAATCACATTCCTCTTGATGCCCACCATCCCCTCCCCCCCCCCCGTCCATTCTTCGCGCAGCTGGCTCTCAAGCCGATCGATACATTTGCATGCAATTCACTCATCTCATTCACTATTGATTCTTGAGAGGGCAGCCTCGGGACCTCGGGAAATGAGGACACTGCACTGCTGCTTCCTCGCCTACTAAGCCGTTTTCCGCTTGCTTTTTATTCGACCGCAGAGATTTCCTCCTTATCCGTTCATGGAATATCCGCTCTATCCGCTTAAGCGGGTGTATTTGAAAGACTTCTATTTTCCGCTTCGGACCAATCTGAATTAATATTTTTCACCACTGAAGAGATATGGTCTAAATCTCCTTGTAAGTCCCCCTCTCTTGTCTTTAGACCTTTGCCGCGAGCGTCGACCAATCTTTCATAATAATTAATTTCCAGCCCTACTCAATTACCGCTTTTTTTTCGTTTGCTCCTCCTAGAATTTCAGTTGTTGGAATTCCAGTTGCGCATACGAGCCCGTTTGTAAGCCCTTCAAGTGTCCTTTGGTTTTTGAGTGCTCGGCAATCCTTTCAGACTCTGAGAAAAATAGTTAGATTTGCGTAAAAAATCTAACTCAAAAAGTTCTGGGGAGGGGGGGGGGGTGGAAAGCCGGGGGAACAAAGAAGTAATAGTTCCGGACTCCTGTTCGCCAGCCTGCCTCGCTGGTTAGACGAAGCCAACTAGCGAGGATTATCGTCCTTCTGTGCTCTTCAGCAGGGAGGGAGAGGAAAAGCGTTGGCTGAGCTATGTTTAAGAAAAAACTCGAAAATGTATGAACGGCTATCTAATAAGTAATTTTATGGTGGAACATCAATCTATCCCTTTTCTAAGTCTTTTTCTGATGTCGGCGACTTCCGATTGTGCGACGCGGCGAGTAAGCTTGGCACTCTGCCTTTTTGAAAGCACTTTTTCCTAATTGAACTTTCGCAGAACGTGATACTCTTTCCTTCCTTATGCCGTCTTTTAGACGTTCCTCATTCGACTATAACAGAATACTTTTGATCCATTATTTATGACGGTGTGCTTTGCCCTTTTGGGGGGAGAAAGTCCGTGTGAGAAGGAAATACGATTATTTATTCATATATTCTCCAGCGAAGTCTGCATATTCTGATTGAGAACTCTCCAGGCAGCCGTCACTATCTTGTCAAAGACACTTGTCGAACGAAACTGGAAAGCGTCATCGCGAATGGAGGCTCAAAGATTACTAGTTTAGCTAGCAGACTGCGCAGCTTCGAAACAAACGCCCCTGAAACAAATGAGGATTCTTTTTCCTCCACCGCAACTCCAGATCCCTTCTTAATTGGTATTTCCCTGGGCTTCTACTGCCTCGAGCCCTGAGGAGGTGAATTTGTGGGGATTGCAGGAGGCTCTGACGACTGACGTGTACTGATTTTGCCCTTTTGCCATTCTCAGCGCGCGCCTTACTCTCCTCTAACGAATCTTTGAATATACGAATACGAAGGCCTTACCGACAAACTGGTCATCACCTGCTGTGTCTCAGAGCTGCGCCTTCAAGGCCATCTATCCTTCGAGGCTCTCACGACCACAGAGATAGCGTTCCTCTGCCCATTTCCCTCAATCACGTTTCGAAACTGCTTGACCAGTGCGAGCGACTTGCCCCTATAATATGTTGTGGCCCGCTAGCTTCACTGTCGACTGGTTGCGTTTTGCCTCTAAATACTTAACATCTTCAACTATTAAGAAAGCAAAGGTAACCTAGTTTTTGAGGCTCATATGCATTAGCTGCTGCTGAATCCCTGGTACCAGCTGGTGCCGTTCCACAAAATATTTCTGGAATTCAGTTTCACTCCATTGTTAAGAAACATTGTTGTGGGAGCAGTACTAAGAT